TTTTTTGTGGTTGAAAATGAAGGAAAAGTTATTGATGTGATGGAAAATATTATTTTATTGATGAATGTGTGGTTGAAAATTAGTAGAAGAATGAGAATGAAAAAAAGAATGGATACTAAACAGAGGCTTAATAACTGTCCTCGAATTTTATGATTTTTCTATTTCGTAAAGTACAGGACTCAAGACCGAGACTGCAACGCGTTTTAGGAACTCCGGCGGATTTCCAACGCGCAACTTGCTGCTTTCAATTCTAAGGTACCCTTTCAAACCCTTCTTTTTTTGATCTGATCATCGAATTTCCTTGTGTATATTGATTATCTCTTATGGTGACTTAGTTTATCTGTGGTGAAACTTGGATTATTTTAATGTTGGATGTTAGTTTATTTTATGGGTTTTTTGCTTTGATACTTATGGGTTTGTGTTTCTCGGTTTTTTAAAAGTATCTAAGAAAATTTAGTTTTCCAGAAGATGAGTGATAATTTGATGGAAAAAGTTAGTGCCTTTGGGGAAAAATTGAAGATTGGAGGGACTGAGGTGGGGCAGAAGATAAGTGCTGGTGTGAGTTCAATGAGTTTCAAGATGAAGGAATTTTTCCAAGGTCCAAATCAGACGGAGAAGATTGTTGAGGAAGCCACTGCCGAAACCCTAGATGAGCCAGATTGGGCCACAAATCTTGAACTTTGTGATATGATCAACCATGATAGGATCAATAGTGTTGATTTGATTCGGGGCATAAAGAAACGCATTATGTTGAAGAACCCCAGGGTTCAGTACTTGGCTCTTGTGTTGCTTGAAACTGTTGTGAAGAACTGTGAGAAAGCGTTCTCTGAAGTCGCTGCTGAAAGGGTGCTTGATGAGATGGTGAAGCTGATTGATGATCCTCATACTTTAGTCAACAATCGGAATAAAGCACTTACGCTGATTGAATCTTGGGGAGAGTCCTCGAATGAGCTCCGATACTTGCCAGTTTATGAAGAGACATACAAGGTATCTCGTCTGTTGAATGTACCTGATATCATTCGTTCGTTGATTATTGCTTTCTTTTGGACTTTGTTATATGCAAACAACAAGCAATTAGAAGACCAATTGTCCCTGTGTCTTATCTTTTGTGAGCATAGGTTTTCTTTACTTGAGCAAAATTTTCCTGCAGTTTATATAGAATTATCATCTGTACATCCCCATTCCATTTTTTTCTATAAATACTTATAGCTGGTGACCTGCCTGAATAATTTGATCGCTTCTAGTCTTGCGCATTACAAAGCAAACTCCTAGCAATTTATTAATATGATAAAAAAATTGCTTCGGTAGTAACAGTGAGAGTTAGCACACAAATTAATGGAAAAGATTAAGACTTGACTAAGTTGTTAATCAGAGTGAACAGACTTTAGTTGTTGCTAACTTTTCTTGTGCATATGCTTAAGTTTTAATTAAGACTTGACTAAGTTGTTAATCAGAGTGAACAGGCTTTAGTTGTTGCTAACTTTTCTCGTTTTAAACTATATAAATTTATGCGAAGGCATGTGAACTGGATGCCCAAAGGCATAGTTTATTGTCACGGTATCATTTTGCGTGCCCAGCTCTTTGATATATTTTCTTGAACTTATTCCCTCATATTCTTGGCTCTTGCCTTACCTTAGAGTCTGAAATCAAGAGGGATAAGGTTCCCTGGCCGTGATAATGAAAGTTTAGCTCCTATATTCACTCCTCCCAGATCTGTCTCAGCTTCAGAATCAGATGCTACTCTTGCACAACAACTACATCAGGATATCCCCATGCAAACCTTTTCAGCAGAACAAACAAAAGAATCATTTGACGTGGCAAGAAACAGTGTGGAGCTTCTTAGCACCGTTTTATCCTCTTCCCCTGAGCAAGATGCTCTCAAGGTACTCTTACAACTTAATATTATTGTCAAATGTGAAATTTTTTAACTTCTCTTTCTCTTAAATATCATGTAAGAGCTCATTCAAAGTCTGAGTTTTCTGTTACATTGTCCTGGCCTTTTTCTTTCCCCAAATCCATGTTTTTAGAAATTTGTTTAAGTTGATTATCTTGTTGTGTAGTTGCTTTGTGCAATAGTTACGTAATCTTGGTTGTTATGTCATCTCGTTTTTCCTTTTATCCTACTATTTAGTTATTTTGCTTCTTCTGTAAAATGTTTTGTGGGGACTTTGAAGAGCATTGTTTTCTTTGCAATCAAACTTCACTGACCACATCAATTCTTTTCATATTCATTTGCAGTAGTGGTTTATACTAATTATTTGTATCCATGGCCGAGATTTCTGTTCTGTTGATAATGACAGCCATCAAATCAACCATCGAGATTTGTTTGCAAACATTAAACTTGATTTCTCATTTTTATTTGTTGCATAGTGGATGATTTCTAGTCTCTGTCTTTTCAAGTATAAAAGGGGCTTCTCATTAGCAAAATTATCAAATTTTATCCAACTATCACAAACATCTATGTTCTTGACAATTGAAGAGGAGGTTTTACTGTTGAAATAAAGATTTCTAAAATTAACTAGATTTAACGGATGAAGCTTGGAATTTTTGCATTCATGTTTTAGTCATAACTCCATTCATGGCACTGGCAGCACTTTGGGGTTTTATGCTCTCAGTTCTAGACATATTGTCCTTGGTTCTACTCCAGCTAATGGAAGTATTTTCTGATGTCATAGGTTTCTACAGTGTCTTCTATTTCTTGTTTTGATGTGTCTCAAGTCAAATTAGATTTATAATAATGTTAAAACACACTATTGCTATATAAGTTGTAACTAAAAATCAGTTCAGACATTGTGGATTAAGTTTATGAAGTGCAAGTCTGGATGAAGTGGAGATTCGGTTTGTTATAAATTAATCAAAAGGGTCTTATTTTTGGTAAATTTATGGAAGTATTTATTAATATAAAGAATTTATGCAACTTGATCAATGAATTATGGGAATGTTACAACACTATGTATAATTTATTTGAGCCACGTAACAAATTAAACATGCACTGGTTTATCATATAGGGGGCGGAGTTCTGTTGTCGAGTTTATTTTGATGTCATAAAACTTTCAAATGATATTTTTCTTCTTAGAAGCACAATTTTTTTTCTTCATTTCGAATAACTTCTAGATTGTTTTTGCAGGATGAATTGACCATTACACTTGTACAACAGTGCCGAAAGTCGCAATATACTGTTCAAAGAATCATTGAGTCAGCTGGAGATAACGAGGCCGTACTCTTTGAAGCACTGAATGTGAATGACGAAATTCAGAAAGTCCTTTCTAAATTTGATGACATGAAGAAACCTTTGGTGGTTCAGAGGGAGCCAGAACCTGCTATGATACCTGTATCTGTTGAGCCCGATGATTCACCCCGGGTAGGAAAAGAAGAAGCTCTTATCAGAAAATCATCAGGCGCTTATAGTGGATCGCATGGAGAGAGCAATGATGACTTGATGGACGATCTTGATGAGATGATTTTTGGCAAGAAAGCTGGAGGTTCATCGGATTCAGAATCAAAGAAGCAGCAGCCATCTAAAGATGATCTTATTAAATTTTAACTATCCTCTTGAGGCCTTGGACAATGTTGATGTGAAGCTAGATTGATATTTTGACTTCAATTCTTGAACTGTCATACTCTTTTCTTTGTAGAAAATCGCGTTTTTTAATTACATTATTTGAGCAGATTTGTTCATACTATTTACAGTGGAACTTAAGGATGTTTGCCATGTAAGGATTTGTTAACGACATATTTTGCATAGAATGTGATCTGAGGTATGTTCGCTCATTGAGTAATCTATTTAGCCTAATCTTCTCCTGTACTTATGTTTCTTTTCGTAGATACTGTTAGGAAATATGTGCGGAAACGCAGGATAGTGAAAAAAATATTACACGTTTCTCTTCCCTAACTATGTCCAGTCTTGTTCAGTTAAGCATGCCGAACATGGTTTAAAAGTTTGTGCCCGCACAAGCCAAGTCGGGATGTGATTGGAGTTGGAAAATGAGGGTCTCGAGCCTACCGGTTTCATATACGAATGAACGAAAAAAATGGTAAAAGAAGAAAATATCCTATTCATGCAATAAGGATGAGCCTTAGTTGTTACAGCAGCAAGTATGCATGTTCAAGATAACCAGGAAATTTAAATAAAAATTAAAATGGAAATCAGTTAACATTGCAGTTATATCTACACTAACATTAATGTACCCGAAAGTTGTCATTTCAATTTCATTGTCCACTTGTTACATCATGGCTTTGTTGATTCTTCTTATGGCACTCATGTCCTCAGCCACTGCCATAGACACTCCTTCAAGAAACCAAGTCATTCCTACAGCCATAGAAGAAATGCAGAGAGCCAATTACTTCACATTTGTAATGCTCCTAAAGATGGCCCCTTCTGACCTTATTAATGGCAACATCACATTCTTGATGCCTAACGACCGGATTCTTGCAAAAGCCGGGATGCCGGAGAGCAGAGTGGTCAACTTCTTGCTCGGCCACTCGATCCCTTCACCTCTTCTTATGGAACACCTACTGCATTTCCCCACAGGTACCTTGATCCCAACATCTATGCCTGGCTTTGTCCTCAAAATTTCAAACGATGGCCGAAGCCGGTTTTTTCTCAACAACGTTAGAATTATTAGTCCTAATATTTGTACTCGAGGGTCTATAAGATGTCATGGCATAGATGGAGTAGTACAGGCCACATCAATTATGCCCCAGCCTGACATAGTCCCGCCTGCTTGTCCTAGTAATAGTACCCGAGGAGGTACTCCAGTGGCTGCTGCCCCTCCAACAGCCCCATCGTCGCCATCACCAGAATCTTTGGCTCCGGTTCCGGTAACGGCCCCACCACCTGCTGATTCAAATGGTAGTCCCCCAACTTCCAATTCTCCTCGGATAGGCAATGCAGGACTACTCGATTTTGGAGTGACAATTTTTATGGTATTTTTGTTTATCTAGTAGTTCATAAGATGTTGTACATCACACTGGCTGTTGCCCAAATTAAATTAAGCAAGCAAAATCGAGAATTGTACATGTCCAACTTATCATCATGTCCTTTCAAGTGATTATTATAAAGTATTGACACGAACAAAAAAGTCGAAAAGATCGTTTGCCTAATGTGATATAAACCTCGAAAGTGTGACATGTACATAGTATTATGTCTCTTTGAAAACAGAATTAACTTATAAAAATGTATATTCCTCTCTAAAATTACTAAACTTCATATTGTGTCACGGACCTCCTCTATTTTTCCACTAATGTAGAAGTAGCCAAGGTTTGTACGATTTTTTATATACAGTCCGATCACGAGCATTCAAAAAATATATAAACAAAAGACAAAACAGATTTGACCAATTTGCTTCTCTTAATGTTGTAAGTAAACAAAGTTAATTTAAAAAATAAATATAAAACCAAAATAAATTCGCATGGGACTGTATCATAATCATAATATAAAAAACACAATGCCGTGTATTATTAATAAACTGATTTTATAAAATATTAGAATTCAGTAATAGCTTAATTTCGTTTGAAGTAGTCAAATTATGTCCTAAAGAACATTGTTCACAAGGAAACATCATTAATATGATAAGTGTATGTTACTTGATGCACACTGTTTTTGACATCACTCGTGTTTTCAAAAAATTAGGGACGAGAAAAACGTTTTTTTTTTTAACTGTCTAATTGTGTGCTATCACGTGACGCGATGTAAACAATGATTTAAGAGATTTTGTATCTATAACATGATTGCATTTCATTTATACCTAATTATTGGGAGACGTGACAATGTAGTTTTCATGTAAACTCGTATCTCATCCTAGGTAGCACACTAATAAATTGACCATCACAGTGAAATTGATCACTATCTCGATTTGTAATAGAAGCATTTTGCCGTGTTTTGTCAACTATATATTGTCCATGTTTCAACCACATTAAAATTTTCATTCACATTCTTCTACTCATTTTCAACCACACATTTTTCAATAAAAAAATATTTTCATCACATCAATAATTTTTCCTTTTTTTTCAACCACACATTCTCCATATAATAAGTTTGCAAGTATGACGTGAACATTCTACGAGAACTTTATTATTAAGGCCTTGTGTGGGAGGGATTAAAATCGGATTAAAATTGAAAATATAACTGTTATTGTTGACTTTTATTAGACGAGTGAGACCCAATAACGGTCATATTTTCAATTTTAATTGGCTTTTAATCCCTCCCGAACGGAGCCTAAGCTACAATAATTAACCTTATCTGTTGGATTTAATCAGGGTAAGATTGTCCATTATGTATTCATATAGGTTCCACCATATAATCACTAGGAGGTTTGGTTACATGATTTATTAAATAAGTCAACTTGACTAAGACCATATTTTTCGACCGACAATGTTGTTTTCAAGTTTAAATATGTGAAGAAATAAAATTCTATAAAATCGCATAAGCAATTACATCATCTTCACTTGTCAACTTTTTGTCTTATCTCGATCGGACTTCGAGTAACTGAATTAAGGCTAAAATGATAATTTTGCCCTTTTCTAATATTTTCTCCATTGGTCTCGTTTTTCTTTAATAAATCCTTCACGATGCAGTCACGAAATAATGATGCGACGTCCTAAAATACTAAGCTCAATTTAAACTATTCTAAAAATGCAGACACGTTAACCCATCGAAGAAGGTGACGAATTCTGAATGCAAATACTAAGCTCATTACTTTGATTCGTGTAAGGTCTCAATTTAACGAGATAATAGAATCTCTGACCCTACGACCTTATTAGAATAAAGCACCAACCATCCATTAGAATTTCTCCACGCAAATAGCAGAATAGAATATTGCTGTCATGTGATGTTCAGTTTAAACAAAGGTAACATAGTGAATAATGTTGCGTGTAAAGTGAAGAGACAATGACTCGAATGGTAACACAAATGAAATTAACCCAATATTATTTGTTATATTATATACACTATTACAGAACTTTATGAGATCTGTGAGCATTAGAGAGATGATTTTTTATTGCTCGGATTATGGGTTGAACAATGTTATCTAACACCAGTTTATGTGACCATCGAATATTAAGGTATTATATTGACAGATATATAGTAATATTTCTTTTCGATCTAAATGCTAAATGACCATCGAATAAAAATACGATTTCGTGTATTTAATAATAATTCAATAATACCCTACTTCACAATCACACCCCGAAATGATACACTTTTCATGGTTCATTTGAAGTAGTCGAATCGAGTCGAGTCGAGTATGTCTTAGGGGACATTGTTTACGAAAAAAGACATCATTCTACGAATAAATTGAACGCTGGAGTGAAATCGATTACCGTATCGACTTCTGATAGTCGAGCTCACTAAGTATTTTGTAGAGTTTTGTCAACTATGCGGAATAAGCTCGCAAGTCTGGTATGAACATTCTACAAGAACTTTATGAATAAAGTATAAAAGTGTGTGCCCGTGATGCCAATATTATTATATAAAATTATTTAACCTAATCCGTTGGATTTAATATTTGTTAGATTTCTCATTATGTATTCATATGGGTTCCACCATATAATTACTTGGAGATTTGGTAACACATCCATTTATTTTATTTATTTACAATAGATGTCAATTCATTGACTCGTTAAGTTAAATAAGCAGAGTCCATCATATTTTTCAATGATTTTTTTTTTTCCAATTTTAAATAATTGAAAAAACAATTATAAAAAAATGAAAATCGATCGATCGGTATATGTTGTAGCTCACAACCTTCATCGTGAACCGTAAAAAGAAAAAAAAAACTAAACTCAATTTAGAGGGTGTTTGGGTGAGATTAAAATCGGATTAAAATTGAAAAATTAGTCGTTATTGTGGGACCCAATAACAGTTATATTTTTAATTTTAATTGAATTTTGAGCCATACCAGACAGGCCCTTAAGCTGATTTTAAAAAGCGGACTCATTAACCCATCAAATAGGGTAACGAATTTTGAATGCGAATACATGCCAATTACTTTGATTCACGTAAGCTCTAAAAGTACTGAAATAATCGATCGTGTAGTTAGATCTCATTCATTGACACATCAAAGAACATCGAGTTTAGTGATAACGACCACAACTTCATAGCCGATTTAAGTAATTTATAAGACAGTCGAGTGTACATTAATTTATGTGCATGGTCATGGTATAGAAATTAATCTATGCATAGTGGTCATGTCTAATACATTTCAAGATATACTAGTGTACTCATCATGGAAATTTGTTAAGATCAGGTCCGATAGGTATAGCATCTGATGCTAAGGCCTAAAGTGTAATTCGAATCAAACCCGAACTTTCAAAATCCGAATTTCAGTCCAATAGGTATAGCATCTGATGCTAAGGCATAGTGGTTGTGGCACGACGTGAAATTGGGTTCCACTATTCTCAATTCAAATCATTATTTTTATTTTTTGCCAAATCAATTTTTATCATTTATTTGTATTTTATTTTTGTAGCTAAAAAGTTATTGTTGTAATATTCACCCAATTTTAAAATAAATGTATTACTTGATAATATATTAACATGAAATTGTTCTAATGTATTAAATAATCAAATTTATTGAATAAAATATCGTATAACAATTTCTAAAAATTTCAAACCAAACGTATTTTTCAATTTCTTATTTTGAGCAACAATTTTTCAAAACGACGGACAAACACGTTTTCTACAATCTTTAAACAAACCCTCGATACAAAAAGCTGAAGTTGAATTTAAAACTCAAAATAAAAAACTGAAATGCAAATGAAACGGGACCTTAACGTCCGTTTTACATAGAAATCACGAATAAATTACTACCAAAGTAGAAATTTGAGCTAAATGGAAAGAAAAAGAGTGGACCACCCAATTTCCTATATACACTGAGAAAAACATAGGAGCTGTCTTAGAAATAAACTCGCACGGTCGCACCAACCATATTGAAATTCGTTTCCCGTCATAAATTTTATATTATTACTTTATCCTTATTATTATTATTATTATTTTATTCTTTCTGCATAAATCAAATAAAGGTGTTTATTTATTTCTTACCTAATTGAAGTTGGTTGGAAGCAGCACAAACTCGAAGGAGTAAATGCAGTTACTATAAATATAAATAAAGAAAAAAATAAATCCCAAAACAAACATCGACTAACCATAACCACACATAGTCACGCCTGTCTACCAAACTTTTGTCACACGAACATAAATAAAGTTGGACTTCTGCTATGTCTATGTATGGAGGGTAAAATGAAGAAGAAAAAGTTTAGTGCTTACACGAAATGTATTGGTTTATCTAGAAACTAAGTGTTGGATTACGAGCATGTGTATTCCTTCAATCTATATTTTTGTGCAAATTAATGCATTATTCAATGTTTTCAAAATTGGTTTCGATATAAATTTGAAAAGGATTAGTGGTCAAAAGAGTAGCTTAGGATTGAATCGATAGTAAGAAAAATTAAGCCATTGTTTGGGTCAGTTAAAAATCAGATCTTTCGGCAGATTTTCATAAAAGTTGATTAGAATGTATAATTGAAAAGTTGTTGAGGCTGATAAAATATGTGGTAAAAATTAATTGTTGACTTTGACTTGTTTTAATCCACTTTTGTAGCTAATTCACACAGCGGTTAAATTAGTAAATAAAAACCAGAATTGGTGTGAACGGACATTTTTAGATGTGAATCGTTAATTTTTAGATGATGTCTTGAATTTTAAATGTTCGATTTTAGCCTCTAATCCAAATTCTCAATCCATTTGTAATTCGTGGTCTAACTCGACGTCTTATTTGAATGTAGTAGCTGCAAAGATATTAACATTGAGAAAACGAACGACGTGTATGAGGATTCTGTATTGTTAAACAAAGCAAAACAAAACACGGTCGAACATTTACACGATGAGAGATTATCCTCGATGTGATAAGCATCGATTTATATAATCTCGAAATAATACTACATGCCAAGATTTTAAAAGAAATCTCGACAAGTAGACTAGAACTTTTCCACTTGAACTAGTCAATTTGATACTCGTTTTGACTCGCATTTAATTTTAGATAACTATTCGAAAGCCATTGAAAAAAATATACATATACCATTCAAACACATCGTGTCATAATTATTGTTTTTATTTTTATATGATTGAACGTAGAAATACTTGTACATGTGGTTATGGTTGACTAAAACGACGTGTAAGTTTAAGCGACGTGCCTTGTTGTAAGAAAATAAATAAGGCTGTGGTGTTAGGTGGCCCCCTTCACACACATACTTAAACTTGATTATGTTTTCTCAAATTAGGTGGTTTAAATAAACTTAATTATTTCAATAATTTAAAAGTAGTAAACATTTTCAAGGGAAAGGAAAATGAGAAATTACACAATCAGTCCTCAATTTGTTGCATCAGTATTAAGTTGATTCTGAAAGTTTAAAAAGAAGTTAATTTCTCTTCTTTATTAGGAGTGGCAATGATTCAGGTTGCTCACAAGCTCGATGGGACAGCTCGTTTGGGCTCTGTCCATGGACGATCGAGCTTGGACTTTGCCAAGCAAGTTGGCTTGGCCCATCTTGTATGACCTTGTAATAATTAGTAAAAACGCAGCCATAGACACATTGTCATGCTAAAAAGCAGCATATAATAGCAAACTGTTTTTCGTAAGTTCTTAATTTTTCTTGCACTGAAAATTTTGCCCACTTTTCGAGACCATCCCAACTTGTCTACCAATGACCAACGAACCATCACTTGTCAACTTTACGAAATTGACGATTAAAAATTTCCTATAGGATCCCGATGATCAATGTTAATCAAACCGTATGTATGTACATAAATTACTTGAATACAAGTTATTGGACCATTTTTTCTAACTTACATCATGCTTAGAAATTTAAATTGAGATATAGTTTTTATTATGATTATATGACAGTATAACGAAAATTTGAATAGTTCGCATGACTTTGATGAACACAACTAACATACTTCTTTCCAAAGGTTTGGGACTAAATTGAAAATATAACAATAACTTCGGGACCAATATTGAAATTTTTCCAGAAGGAAAAGAAAGTGGTAGGTGAGCAAGATGGTTGATGAGATACGCGAGAAAGGGTTGATGGGGGAGTTTAACTGCATCTCTAATCTCTCAATACTGGTCAGCAGCTACCCCCAGGCACCCCACCCTAACCCCGCATACATTCACATTTTCCTACCTAACACCCATACGTTCTTGTATTTATTTCACTCACATTTCTTTCCGAAGCCGCCTGTTTTTCTTGTATTCTTATTTTGGTTTCACCCTCTTGAAACTCTACCGGTTAATCTTCACAATCACGCATTTTATAACACACAAATTAATATCTATCCACATTCCAAGAAATCAAAACCCTTTGTGCAGAGATTTTGAGTTAGATCAAGAAACATGTTATCAGTAGCTTCTGTTGAAACTCAAAATTCAGAGCTTTCTTCTTTAGCTTCACCTCAAAAACCACAAACCCAATCTTCTGAAGAAACCCATGTTTTCATTTCAAAACTTCCCCAAATCCCCATTTCAAATCATCTCCCTCTCCACACGTACTGTTTTGGGAATCTTGCACAGTATCCTGAAAGACCATGTCTTATAGTTGGCAGCACTGGAAAAACATACTCTTTTTCAGAAACCCACCTCTTATGTCGGAAAACAGCCGCCGGTCTGTCCAAACTTGGCTTGAAAAAGGGAGATGTGATTATGGTTCTGTTGCAAAACTGTCCTGAATTTGTTTTTACTTTCATGGGGGCTTCAATGATAGGTGCTGTCACCACTACAGCCAATCCGTTCTATACAAGTTCAGAAGTTTTCAAGCAATTTGGTGCGTCTAAAGCTAAACTGATCATAACTCAATCTCAATACGTCGATAAGTTGAGGGATCCGGGGCAGAATAACCCGAAACTCGGCGAAGATTTCAATGTAATCACCATTGATGACCCGCCGGAGAATTGCTTGCATTTCTCAGTACTTTCTGAAGCAAATGAGAATGATATTCCATCGGTTTCTATTGATCCAAATGACCCAGTCGCGCTTCCATTTTCATCTGGCACCACGGGTTTACCAAAAGGTGTTATCTTGACTCACAAAAGCTTGATCACGAGTGTGGCTCAGCAAGTGGATGGGGAGAATCCCAATTTATACTTGAAGTCGGATGATGTGGTTCTCTGTGTTCTTCCACTGTTTCACATTTATTCATTAAATTCAGTGCTTCTGTGCTCGCTTAGAGCCGGCGCCAGTGTCCTTCTGATGCAAAAATTCGAGATCGGATCTTTCTTGGAACTGATACAGAGGCACCGTGTGTCGGTGGCGGCGGTGGTGCCGCCGCTAGTCCTAGCGTTGGCCAAGAATCCAATGGTGGATAAATTCGACTTGAGTTCAATTCGTATGGTGCTGTCTGGGGCCGCTCCGCTGGGGAAGGAGCTCGAGGCCGCCCTTAGAAACCGAGTCCCACAGGCCATTTTTGGTCAGGTATTAGAACTAAAACCACCATTTCCCTTCCAACTTATTTTTCATGTCACATGCCATTGAATAATTATGTAAGGCATTTAATGTTTCTTTCATACACCACAAATTGGGCTACAAAAATAGAAAAAGGGGAAAATACTTACCATCAACAAGTGGTGTGGGCTGGGTGATACTCAGAGATGTTGTAGGTATTCTGTACATTAATTTGAAAAATTATTTTTAAAATTGACGTTGATTTTTACACCTCACTACTTGTCAAACTACTTGTACAAGTAAATTAATTCTTATTTGCATCTCTTTTTCCTCCTCCCTTCCATGTGCTCATTATGTACACCATTATGCATATTACTAAGTGCAAATAGCATTACTCTTTATTTATAATAAACTAAACATTGTTCGCGATCCAATTCAATTTTACTATATCTACATGGGCATACGGTATGATATACAATTAAAAGAGTTTGTTTGGACCATAATTGACCTATGCGATAATCCGTTCTCACATAATGTGTGGGACCCGCCTGTATTTTAAAATTTCGACAATGTGGTCCTCATCCCCATTATAAGTAGTAGGTAAAAGATTCGGTAAAAAAATTCGGTACATGTAGCATGATTATTGACCTATACCTGCTTTTGTATACAACCCATCTAAGTTGACGGCGTATCAATTTTTTCGCCATTTAAAACTTTTCGTTGGATGTAGGGCTATGGCATGACCGAGGCTGGTCCAGTATTATCAATGTCCACGGCATTCGCCAAGCAACCAATATTGACTAAATCTGGCTCATGTGGCAATGTCGTTAGGAATGCCGAACTCAAGGTGGTCGATCCTGAATCCGGTTCTTCCCTTCCCCGTAACCAACCCGGAGAAATTTGCATCCGCGGGCCTCAAATCATGAAAGGTAGGTAGTTGTGTGCGACACGATTAATTAGCTAGCACATATTCTTTTTATTTGGAACAAAATGTTGAAATTTTATATTTTCGTGCGGTCATAGGGTATTTGAACGATGACGAGGCAACTGCCAACACCATTGATGTCGACGGCTGGCTCCATACCGGCGACATCGGTTACGTGGACGACGACGACGATATTTTTATTGTCGACCGAGTGAAAGAACTCATTAAATTCAAAGGCTTCCAGGTACGTTCCTATAATAAATTAAACTCTCGCATTTTCCATATAAGATTTTTGCATTTCGCTCGTACATGTGATGATCAATGCTTGTAACAAAAATATGCAGGTTCCACCAGCCGAGCTCGAGGCTCTTCTCGTAAGCCACCCGAACATTGCCGACGCTGCAGTCGTACCGTAAGTTCATAAATTTCCGTTCAAATTCTTGTAACAACAAAGAGAATAAAGGAATAATACGATGTGGATGTGGACTCGAAACAGGCAAAAAGACGAGGCTGCCGGTGAAGTTCCCGTGGCATTTGTGGTTCGATCGAATGGATTCGAACTTACAGAAGAAGCTGTTAAAGAATTCATTGCAAAACAGGTAAATACTTAGTAAAATACTACTACCGTTCCCAAATACGTTAGATAACTAACGATACAAGTGTGTGTTTTGTTTGGCCCAGGTTGTTTTTTACAAGAAATTGCATAAAGTGTACTTTATACACGCAATTCCCAAGTCTCCCGCTGGTAAAATTTTAAGGAAAGATCTTAGAGCGAAACTCGCCACTCCCATATCGTCGCCATCGCCATCGTAATTATATATAAATCTTGCGATTTAGTGTTTTTCAAGTATTTTATGTTGTTATCGTGTTCTTATTCGACATAAACCAATTTGTTTAAAAAAACTTTTATTCTGTAATTTTTTCCCCGTTTGCTTGAGTTGTAATATTTAATGTATTCAATAATTGAATTGTACTTCTCTATAAAAAAATATGTTCTGGTATACCAAACATGTGGTCGAAACGGATTCTAAATCCACTTGCTATTTTTTACCTTGAAAAATCAAAGAGCGTGCCTAATTATATATACTAAAGTAGACTTCATACCAAGATCGTGGGCGAATTAATTATCAATTATTTATATTTATATTCACAGTTGTGCAAGATTTGACGCTTCCAAGAAAATATATATTTTAGATTTTATTATTTTGAAAATTGAAGCATTTAATAATTATTATTACATGTGTTCACACGATCGACACCTACTCAACAACAATCCAGAGTGTGTTTGATGCACATTTTTTAGGAGAAATGCATTTTTTTGTAATGTGATGGTAAATATGTGGTTAAAAAAGAAGGAAAAGTTATTGATATGATGAAATATATATATATATATACAGAAATGATCTAATGAGCACCGGTTCATCTTATCCTAAGCACCGATGAGTTGGCACATTTATTCATTGGTGGATAAGTTGCCAACTCATTGGTGCTTAGGATAAGATGAGNTATATATATATATATATGAGTACCAATGAATTAATGTGTCAACTCATTGATGTTTAGGATAAGATGAGCATCGGTGCTCATTAGATCATTTCTGTATATCTATCTATCATTTATGTATGTATATCTATCTATCATTTGTTATACTCAACTACACTTTTGAATAACCAATTGCCTTTTTTCATTTTTATTCATGAAAGCACAAATTCATAAGAGTCCATATATATGCTGGACATGGTCTTTGAATGTCTTCTTTTTAGATTGTTTTTAGAATGTGAAATTAGTGTCAATTGAAATATTTAATCTTGGAACCGATAAATTTTTATTTTTTACAATTTATAATCACGTTCTTTGGTTGAATTATTCTTGGTGTACATAAAAATTTGTACACGGGAATGTCATTTCCCTCACATGAGGTGTATGTACAAAAAGTTATGCACACCAAACATAACTTCTTTGGTTTCTTCATCAAAACTTTTGTGTCTTTCAATGAAAGCAGCCTTTTCAGGGTGGTTGTATGTCTGTAATTCATTTGATAATTATTTTGCAATCAGGAATTTTGTGCAGACCTCTGTTAACACAATTGCACTAGGGAAAAAAAAAAGTGAAAACTAAAAATAGAACAAGTGATAGTAGAATCCTAAGTTGTAGTACAGTAGTAGTAATATTATAGGATGAACCTGTTTGATTTTTGAAAATAAATTTTGTAATAAGTGATTTCTTTAGAGAATATATTGTTAAAAATAGAAAAAATTTATAAATCTATGTGTAGAAATAATTTATCGAGAGAATGCGGTTGAAAATAAATTTTAAAATTTTTTGATCAAACAATTAGTATATAAGGGCCTGTTTAATATGGTTTTTGAAAAGTCAAAATGAATTTTTGTGTTTCAAAAGTTGCCTTTGGATTCGTTAGGCTAATTTTATAAAAAGAATATTTTTTTTACTTAGAATAGTTTTTAAAGGAAGTTGATTCAATACGATTTTCTCTAAAAGTACTCCGAAATATGAAGTTCTTGTATGAATTAGGTTTTAAACAAAATTAACGTAACGTCCTCATGAAAAGTTTTCACATAAAACTAAAATAAAAATAAAAGCTATGTCAAACGAACCTCAATCCAATAATTAGGGAGCGGTTAGGTTGTGTTGAGTTGCGTTGTGTTGGTGGTGCGGATGTTTTCAATCTATTCTTTTTCTATCATTTTTTGGTTTCGTTCTTTTTTGTTAGGGCAAATAATGGGCTACACTCCCCAACGTTCACCTACACTAGACTAGTTTCAGCTCTCTATCGTTTAAACATAAGATCATAGATCTTCAACCGTTTGATTCTCATTATTTTAAAATTACTTTTTTTCTCGAACTCATTTTTAATCACACGTTCTCAAAATAAAATATTTGGAACGTAAACGTAAATTTTTTTATACTTTTTAACCACACATTTTTAAAAAATCTATTATTACAAAACTCATTTTGATGAAATAATAGACATCAAATAGGGGCTTAAATATGTATTTGCCTTTCCATGTCACGGAAATAGTCATCGTGACTATTAAAAGGTCATAATTTCTAATAACCATTTTATCCTTTCCGTTAATTAAATATTTTTTTTAAAAAAATGTGTAATGCGTGGTGATGCGTTTCAATCGAACATCAAACATTACAAACATATGCATAATTATGCGCTTTTCAATTTTTAATATTATTTTAGATATTCTAAACTAATAAATAAACAAAGTAACACATTCTTTAAACTTTATACATATTTTTCAAAATTTAATATATGAATAAATAAATATTTCTCTAAATTATAAACAATGCAATTACTTAAACTTTCTACTTATTTTTCAAAATTTTAACAAAAACTATTGCTCAAAATCATAAATACTATAATTACTTGGTAATCAATTTTTATAATTATATTAGACTCAAACATTTGGTTAAAAAATTGTAAATATTATCTAGCTCTTTATTGGATTTCAATTCAATTTCTTCTCTTTCATGAAAGTTATTGTCTATGTCATCCAATGCAAAATCATATTCATCGTGCTCTCTTATTTCAACTCAAAAAACTATATTACTTCTTGTAGATAATAAGATATTATTGGCAACATCCTTCTCTTTGTCACAATCATTAACAATTCAAGATTGTATACTATTGGTATCATTTGCTAGTAAAACTGGTGTAAGACATAAGAAGAATGAGACTCGAACTCGGTGCAGATAGTTTATATTTCTACGAATTTTTTTTTATTTTTGCTTTGTTTAAACGTCGAAACCCCGTAGATTGCTATATATAATCTATGTGTTTGAGAGATTTGGGCTAATTTGTTATTTGTTGAGCTCAATTTTATTTTTTTTTTGAAATTATAAAAAATAGTTGGGCTTTGTCATACCAATTTTGACACAATTTTTAATATAAATGCATGTTCATTTTGGCGTTTAAGCGTGTATATAAGATCAACGAAATGGGTCGACCACATTATTAGGCTCATGCCCCATATGTGAAGCGTTTCAAAAATGCATTGAGAATGTGCGGACATATGCGAGGTATATGGGTGCATTTTATAGCACTACTTTTGAATCATACATTCGTACAAAAATTATTTTTACAAAATTTATTCTATCAAAAAACACTCATGCTACATTGCTCACCTCATTGACAGATAAGTTGACATAATGTCACGTGATATTTTATTATTAGATTGTTTTAACAACAATCATCATTTTCATCCACCTACTCATCGTTAAGGAGGATATCAAAAATCATCCAGCAAAGTAGAATAATTCATAAGAAAATGGGACTTAAACAAACCATCTATTTGCTTGTTTAACACATTTTTTTCTCTCTTTTTGTTATTTAAATATTAATTCAAAGTAAGGAGGTAATAGTTACTTTTAGCCCTTGTTTGATTCCCATTATTTGCAAAATACATTTTTTTCTCACAATTTTTTTCAACTACACATTGTTCAATAAAATAATATTACACGTAAACTCAAAATTTTTCGTTATTTGTTAACCGCACGATTTTAATTAATCTACTATTCAAAAATGCATTTATTTGCCAAATAATGGACTCAAACAAGGGGTAAATAAATTTAAACTTCAACCGTCCGCTTTAACAATTTTCATGAACTGAATTCAAAATATTAGGTTAGGAATGAAGAACCTACATTAATGAAAGATTGAGGACCAGAGTCCCCTTTATTTTAATTATTATTAAACTAAAGCTACAATTAAGAGGGTGTTTGGTGGTGATTAAAATTAGATTTTTAATAAATTGTGATATAAGTTTTTGAAATGTGCGATTGAAAAGTCGTAGGATCCATGATAGATACGATTAATATTGATTATTTGACTTTGATTTTTACTAAAATCAGATTTTGATCCAGACCAAATAGGAGCTAAGAATGACAATGGAGCTTGTGGAGCGTGATCCAGTCCCTATCCCACGAAGAATTTTTGGGAGGTGGGGTCGGGAGTGAGATAAAATACATTCATTTTCTACTTGTTTATTTATTTATTAAATACAATTTTAAAAATATAAAAACATATAAAATAAAAAGTAATAGTCAGGCGAAACATTTTCCATCCTTAGATACCATGGTCATTTTAACATGAAAACTGACATTTTAAAGGTAAATAAGTCTTTTGCCAAAAAGGAGGCTTGTCGCGTACTGTTTAAAATAATGCTACGTGTACATTATATATTTGTACATCACGCTTGACATCATCATTGTTGTTAAAATTTGATCGGAGTAAAAATTGTTTTGAATTTTAAACTGGTCAATAGCGTGTTTTCACGTGACACAATGTAAAAAACAATGTAAGGGTTACACTGTTTAATAGGTGAGGAACCCCTAGTGCAAATGAAAGGTTTAGGAACTTACGAGGTTCGAGACCCAATTGAAAATTTTCCAAAAACTTATGGTCATTTTAGAAATTAGATTTAAGTCGAGGACCATTCTTAAAATATAACACGTCATCGTCAATTCCAAAAATCATAAACCCTAAGATAAACCCAGAAAACTATAACCTCAAACTACCATGGACTTAGAGCCCTCGGCAAGCCATCTTCTTAATCTGGTTATTTAACTAAACAACTCCTGCGGTTCTTACAGTAAAACCCCCCCTTTTTTTGCCATTTTATTGAGCTTCTCTAAGGTTTACACAAGTTTAGGAAATGGCAAAAAATTGTGCAGCAGGGGTTTTAGCAGCCATGGTCTCTGCAACTCTTGGTCTAGATTCTGCTTATGCAGATGGGAATTTTAGTTTTAATCCATTCTCCACTTCTTCTCCGCCGCCTCCACAGGCCGCTTCTGAACCGGAGAAGCCGCCAGCCACAGAGCCGACACGGATTCGAAATGATAATCCGAGGACCACATCAGCTGGGTTCGATCCTGAGGCCTTGGAGAGGGGTGCTAAGGCTTTGAGAGAGATTAATAGCTCGGGGAATGCCAAAAAGGTTTGAAATTGTGATTCTTTCATTAGTTATTTTATTTCGAGTCCGGGAAATGACGTGTTTGTGAAAGATTTTAAATTTTAATTATTTGAGTATGTTTCTGTTTATTTATTCATTTCATGTACTGTATAGATAATTGCTTGGGAAAGATATATGGATAAACGAAACAGTATCTTTGTTTGAAGGGCATGTTTTTCTTTTCTGTGTTTGTATGCATGTTACACAGCCTGCTGTATGTTTCTGATTGTACGGAAATTTGATTTGTGTTTATTTTTTGTGTATTTACTGGAGGATTTGCGTTGGTGTAGGTCTTTGAGGTTATGAAGAAGCAAGAAGAGACAAGGCAGCAAGAGTTAGCTGCAAAAGCAGCAGAGTTTAAGGCAATGCAAGCTCAAGAAGAAATTGTAAGCTTGACATTAAGCCCAATATTGAAATCATTTCTGTTAGTTTTATTATATTTGATTGATTCATGATTGTAGACTACATTTGTCGTGTTGCCTCAGGCTGAATAATTAAGTTAACTTCTGTACACGTTCATTTCTTTATGTGATTGCTTATATGCGTTTTGTGGAGCATCTCTTTCTCTTTCCACTTTTGACTCGTTACATTTTCTAAACCAAGACGTCTGTTGATTCACTTTGTCAAAAATTTCAACTCATAAACCCAAAAGCGAAACATACATGTGATATATAGCTTTTATTGTAAAACAGACATAAAGCAATTACAAAAAAGTAAATGTAAAGGAATGCATTTGCAAAAAGTATTTAGCCACTGAATTTGTCTTTCTTTAACATTTTGAGTCCATTAGTGGTTTGAAAAAATTACATCTGTATTATGACTTCCAAAATGTATTAAACTTTGTCTTAGATTTGGTCAAGTCATGCCTTTGGTCATTCCAGACAGCCTAGGATAGGATAGGTTTGGTTTGGTTTAGTTGTCTATTTACTGCATTTCCTTTTTGGGGATTCAATATACTAATAGGAGATATATTGAGTTTATAAGTGTTGTTTCACTCTTCCTCAAGTAATGAGATATCTGATTATTGTATTTCTAGAGAGCTTCAAAGGCTTTTATTTGTGATTGTTGATACCTTGGTGTGTTGAACCTTGATTTTTGAAGTTCTATTTTTCAATCTTTCTTTAATTTTTCTAATAGAACCTTGGCCCAGTCTTTAAAGAGAGTTTCTTTTGTTCCTCAACAACTTGAATAATCATTTTTTGCTGACTCTTTTATATAAAACACTATCCCTAAACCACCCGAAATCCCTGAATCCATGAACACAGATCTCAAGTGCTTTTCACAATAATATAAAACATTTGAGAAACAACTTTTGGATGATTCGGTTGATCACTAAACCTTTACTCATCCAAACTCACTAACTATAGACCCTTTGAGATTGTTCTACTCAGAGTTTACGCTTTTTTTGAGGAATGTTTATGTTAGAATATCTTGGACAACCCTTTGAAATCTGATTCCTAATAATTTACCAAAAGCATGTTTGGTTAAGCTTAAAATCCAATTAAAATTAAAAATATAGCCGTTATTGGGTCCCACTCATCTAATAAAAGTCAACAATAACGGTTAGTTTTTCAATTTTAATCCGATAATCTCTACCGAACACTCCCCAAGATTATATTTTTACGAATTCATGTCATGTTGATAACACACACTTGAATCTTATTGCGCTAAAAGATTGAACCAACCCGCCCCTTGTGCAAAAGCAATATCCAAAGCAAGGCAACATGTTTGTTGTTGAGTATCTAGAGAAATAATAATTTAATGAGCTACCTTTTTAAAGACTAAGCCTTGAAATCTACAGAGTACAGATGACTTCATGGATGGTTTAAATAATGGTACTGGAAAGAACATTTTTATCTATAATTACACAACTGAAGTACTCATAAATACACGTTGGATTGAGTCGTATCTGAAATACTTGAGGCTTATGCTAGTTAGTTTTGAATAAAGAGTTAAAGTAAATTAATAACCAAAGAAAGTTCGATTTGTGCAATGGAGTTTTGCGGCTGAGTTACCCTCAAATTGATGACTGACAAAATGCTGCATGTACTTTAAAGAGTACTCAACAACTGGACAGAACCAGAAAGAATTTGGTACTTGAAAATTGAGAACTGGTTGCTAATCCTAAAATTAAGGTGCTTTTAGGGATTTCTGAAGATGAAGATTATTGTATTATTTCCATCATGTCAACACAACTCAACTCATTGAGTATTTAAAATAATAAAAATGCTGTAGTTGAAGGACAATGCATTACTCATTATACCAGAATTGGAGGGATAAAACAGTTGCTAAATTTTCTCCAGACAGGCTCCCAAAGGACTCTTAAATGCAGGACTTGTCCATCTATGCTAAGATCATTATCTCCGAATAGGAAGATTTTTCAAGGTTCTGTGCTGTCTCAGCTAGTGGAATTGTCACGTGTGTTAATTTGTGGCTCATTGAACTTTTCTTTGAGTTCTATCTCCCTTCCTGCCCCTTTAATACTCTCTTTTTCAAGAAAGATGGTAGTCTGGATAACAACTTTTTGTTCTTGTGGAAAAATAGAAACATTATTCTAACAACCCTTTAGGGTATCCCAAAAATAATATCCTTCTTAATATGGCAGCCAAGATGATTTTCACGTAAAGGAATACCGTTTACATAAATTTTCAGGACGTGACTCTAATATGGAACAAATGATTATAATTTTAGAGAAGAGAAATGTCTCAATCCAGATAATATGTTTGAAGGAATAAGTGTTCAGAGACATGGAGCGACTGAATATGCTAAACTTTTTTCAAAAAAAAAACTCATGCAATGCAAAGACAGTTTTTCCATGGCCTCTTCCGTGTGGTCTGTCTTGTTTGCAACACATAATTTCTATATCTTTTGCTCAGCAAAGTTGAGGTTGATTTTATCTGCAACAAGGGAGACGTAGGCAATAGAAGGATCAAGAAAAAGTAATTTCAAGTAAATTACAATCTTTTGTTGCCCGCGTAACCATTTAAATAAATTTTCAGGATGTGACTCTAATATGGAACAAATGATTTATAATTTTAGAGAAGAGAAACGTCTCAATCCAGATAATATGTTTGAAGGAATAAGTGTTCAGAGACATGGAGTGACTGAATATGCTAAACTTTTTTCAAAAAAAAAAAAAAAAAAATCTCATGCAATGCAAAGACAGTTTTTCCATGGCCTCTGCCGCGTGGTCTGTCATGTTTGCAACACATAATTTCTATATCTTTTGCTCAGCAAAGTTGAGGTTGATTTTATCAGCAACAAGGGAGATGTAGGCAATGGAAGGATCAAGAAAAAGTAATTTCAAGTAAATTACGATCTTTTGTTGCCCCGATTTGTAATGGATGAATGCCTGTAAATAACATTCATGAAGTAATGTAATAAAGACGATTTTTAATCTGGTTCGTCTTAAATAATTAACCTCATCTTTAGCTAGACAAACTACATGAAGAAACTTCTGAGAGTTTCCCTGAATGACTATGTACCTAAGCCCCAAGTAAATTCTCTGTTTTCCATTTTGTCAAACAGTAAAAATGTGTTTCTTGTTTGGTAGGAGAGAGAGAGGGTTGTATATGATGAACAGAAAAAGTTAGCTCAGCAACAGGCACAAATCAAGTCGCAAATGGCTCGCTATGAGGATGAATTGGCGAGGAAAAGGATGCAGGTATGTTTATCTTGTTTATGCACAGAGTGCTTAATAGTTCCTGTGATAAAACGGAATAAAATTCTGGATTTCTGTAGGCAGAGAATGAACATCAAAGAGCAAGAAATCAAGAGCTCGTAAAAATGCAAGAGGAATCAGCTATGAGGCAAGAAGCAACTAGACGAGCTACGGAGGAGCAGATTCAAGCACAGCGTCGCCAAACTGAACGAGAAAAGGCTGAGATAGAACGTGAAACAATTAGGGTGAGGGCTTTGGCAGAAGCAGAGGGAAGAGCCCATGAAGCAAAGCTCGCAGAGGACGTAAACAGAAGAATGCTAGTAGACCGTGCAAATGCAGAGCGAGAGAAATGGGTCGCTGCTATTAACACGACTTTTGATCACATTGGAGGTTCTTTTATCTGGTTCTTTATTCTTTGGGTTATTGCATCATTCATAGATATATGCATAGAAGTGTCGGTGACATTTGAATTGATATGCATTTGGTTTTAGTTATTGGGTTTTGTTAAGGTCATAATGAAGATATTGGAAAAAATAGTAAAATTAGCCTACATTTGGCTCAACCGCTCATATGTATGAACACGCAAGCCACTTTTTATTCATACATTTTGAGGGATCCAAAGTACTACTTGCTTATCCGTCACTTGTATCTATCTTTTTATAATTAGAACCGTTTGCAAACACTTCCTACACATGCTCGTATTGTACTTGACATAAAATTGATCTTGAAAACAAGTTCACGTTAGTTGTTTCTTGGGTTACAAGTAATGATTTCCTTGCTGGGTTTTTTTTGGGCGGTTGGGGGGGCAGACAAGATTATAAGCGGATAAGTGATGCTACTTGAAGAGTGAATTGCCCTGATTTCCCCACCCCCTACCCCCCTGCAATATGTAATAATATCGTCTTAATATAATAATGAAAAAGTAGGTTGCTCGTTGATGCTTAACCATGCCATTTGCATGCTAGTATCTGTGGAGCTTCCAGTGTATTTTTTATTTCACACCTTACAAGGAAAAAAAGGGAAAAATACTTGAGATTTGTTTACTCGACTCTTCTCCTTCCTTTTGTGTTACAGAACACTCCCCTTCTCCCTGGGAAAAAAAAGAGAGAGAAGCGGGGAATGGGAAGAGGACAAAAGTTGACGTAAACATTTAAATATTTAACCATTAAAAGTGTCTGAGAAGGATATTGTTGCTATCAATGTTCTTTCAATTATTTTCAGGGTTGAACAGACTGCAGAATAGTAATTGGTCCATTGTTTGCAGGGGGGTTACGGGAAATTTTAACAGATCAAAATAAGCTGGTTGTAGCTGTCGGAGGTGTGACGGCTCTTGCAGCTGGGATCTACACAACAAGGTATTGGAATTGTTATAAAGAACACACTCCTTTTGTTTTGCATGCGATCGCTTTGCTCTTTATCAAAGGTATAGATGTTAGGATACTCAACTCGCACTAAAGTTATGTCTCAAGATTTAGGCACATGATTTCAATTTTAATTTATTTCTGCATCATCGGGCTGTCATAACCTTTCTCTGTTTTTGCTCACAGTATACTCTTACCTATTTAGTTGAATTGTTAACTCTGTAGTCATCAGTTTTGAACCTTGGGGTGAATTTGAATATATGGTTTTTGGCAAGTTATATCACGCAGCACCTTCCAATAGACGGGTAGTAGTTTACTCAAGGTTATTAGCTGATAGATTTGATCTCAGTAGTGGGAACTTTTACATCCGCAGTGTGTTTCTCTTTTTTTTTCCTCTGAACTTGGGAATATTTATTGCCGTGAGTCCAGTTGATAATATGAAATGGTGAGTAATGACTATACTATGCAAAAAACTCTTCGAGCCTTGTGAATGACATCACTTGATAATTCAAAAAGTTTTCCTCTGTCACTTGAGTTATCTATTTATCGCCAGGTATTTCTGAGCTATGTAACCAACAGACCTTGTAGCCTGCTTCTCCCCTGTTTCATGTAGTAGAATCAATCATGGCTTCTTATATATACATGCCATAATTGGAGAGTATTGTTGCTAGTCTCTGCAACCATATTCTTTGCCATCTCCAATTCATTATCTTTCCTTTTTTTTAAGCTTGTTGCTGACCAGCCTACTGTGATATGTACTCGCCAAATTAACCTTAAACAGCTGCATGATAAGATTGGTGCTCTAATTTGAAACTGGTTTTAACAAGTTCCTGGTTCTAAGGCAATCATCTTATTATTTATCAGCTAAACGAGTCATAAACAATCATCTCTGTGTGTATGTGGGCATTCATGTTTAGTGATTAGCAAATTGCAGTTAATATATTTGAGCCTTGGATTTCTTATAGAATTAATAAGCTAGTGGCAGTGTCAACTATAAATTAACTTCATGATGATGGTATTTATGCAAACTTCTTGTCAGCACTTTTTGTTTGAACTTAAAATGAAATTTATTTTTTGAATTTCAGGGAAGGTGCAAGGGTGATTTGGAGTTATGTGGACCGAATATTAGGACAACCATCTCTGATAAGGGAGTCTTCCAGGGGGAAATACCCATGGTCAGGCTTGTTTTCACGTGCCATGACTAATAAAAGTTCTGGCACCCAACGTGCAAATGGTTTTGGTGATGTTATTTTACACCCTTCTCTTCAAAAACGTATCGAACAGTTGGCTAACGCAACTGCAAATACAAAAGCTCATCAAGCACCATTTAGAAATATGCTTTTCTACGGGCCTCCAGGAACAGGGAAAACGATGGCTGCTAGAGAGCTTGCGCGCAAATCTGTATGAACTATTAACCTCTCCTTGCTAACGGAATTATTTATTATGATAGTGGGGGTTGGACCTATTGCCACTTGTGGCTTTTCACCTTCATATAGGTTCCTGATTAACATATCCAATTATGGATGAGTTGCAGTTGAATAAAAATCTTGACATATACTAGCTTTCTGTTGTGGACTTTGATTGTTTACGTTTTTTAAACCATTTTCATTCATGCATAATAACTAGTCGACGTCTTAACCTTGTTTGTGCTTTCAAATATCGTGTTTGGTGTAGGGAAACAACAAGAACAACAAATAAACAGACAAGCAAAGTTTGATTCCCAATAAACTTGAGGTCTTTGATGCGAATGTTTGCTCCTTCTGATCCACTGCTAAAACGCCCAAGGAGATTCAATTTTCTACAATCATGTCATACCATGTTTAAGTTTGGTTTACTTCTCTCTTCATACTCATTTTGATGAAGTCACGTCACTATTGTAAATGGGATATTCTATAGGTCTACCTAGACGTGCTTCAACCATCTAAGTTGTCACTCTTCTTTTATCTTCAATTAGTGTCAAATCCACTTGTAGGTGTATCAACATATTCATTTTAACATCATCATTATATTGTAATGAGAGAAAGAAACATAGAGAGTGCTGCAATGATTTCATACTCAAAACAGATTAGGTGACTAAGTGGTCAATTACATGGGAAATCTCTCTCTCTCGACTTTTTCCTTTTGTGGAATGGAAAATGTGACCTTCCTTTTTAATTTATCAAAGTTTAAATGGCTTGAAGTTCTTCCCCTCACACGGGGACCAGTTCAAACATGAGCAAATTCTAGTGACATGGTACACCTTGTGGGTTGCCCTTTATATGTTCTAGTTGTTTTTAATTAGATTTCCTATAGTGAATGCTATCTGTTTGCATTTGTGCTGCTCTGACACCTGGTTCTCATGTTTATAGGGGCTTGACTATGCATTGATGACTGGAGGTGATGTAGCACCACTTGGCTCTCAGGCTGTTACAAAGATACATCAACTATTTGATTGGGCAAAAAAGTCGAACAGGGGTTTGTTGCTTTTCATTGATGAAGCAGATGCATTTTTGTGCGAGTAAGTAGCATTTCCCCGGGAGTTTTGACTAGTTTAAGTTAGGGTTGCTAAATTTTTGGATACCACTTTTATACTTTTCCCTCTTTAATGATAACTTGATATATAGCAAGCTAGGCATTATTCTTCATGTTGTTATCAATCTATTTATTTGGAAAAAAAAACTCTTATTTTCTGAGTAGCGCTTCTATGGACATCCTTAAAAACACTTGTTATGTACACTAGAATTTAGTTTTGCTGCTTTAGGTTTAGTAGACAATTGATGTTACGGTTGTACTATATGTACATAATGATTTACGTAATAGCTTATATGCACACGATGTGGTGAGATATGATTGGGTCAGAATTTCTGCAACCAAATAAATAAAAAAAAATTCTCCCCCACTCTCTTTTTGACACCTCATTTATATGTAACCATTATGTAGCTCTATCATACAAGTAGCATTATTGTTGATGTTAATATCTTCAAACAAAAGAAGTAACAATAATAAAACAAGTGGGGACAGAAAAAGAAACTGAAAATTAGAGATTCTAACTTGTAAGACTCGTCGTGCTTTTGGATCAAACATTGATATCTTCATTTATGTTGTATCTGACTGTCATCGACTGGCTGATCCTTCTTTGAAGATATATAATTTAGTTTTTTTTTTTTTTCCTAGCGAGTGCAATTTGATTTCCATTTTCCCTGCCAATTATCATTCTATAGGATAACATTTTAATTTCATTTCAAGCTAACATTGGATTTTTGAATTGACAGGAGGAACAAAACCTATATGAGTGAAGCTCAAAGGAGCGCACTCAATGCACTTCTATTTCGGACAGGTGATCAGTCCAAAGATATCGTTCTAGCTCTTGCGACGAATCGCCCGGGTGATCTTGATTCAGCCGTGGCAGACCGTATTGATGAGGTCCTGGAATTCCCTTTGCCTGGTGAAGCCGAACGCTTCAAATTACTGAAACTCTATATGGACAAGTACATAGCTCGAGCTGGGGCAAGAAAACCGGGCTTGTTCTCTTCTTTGTTTCAGAAAGATCAAAAGAAGATCGAGATCGTGGGCATAAATGATGATATTCTTAAGGAATCTGCAGCAAAAACTGAGGGGTTTTCAGGAAGAGAGATAGCGAAGCTGATGGCAAGCGTTCAAGCAGCTGTTTACGGGAGCAAGAACTGCATATTGGATCCAAATTTGTTCCGAGAAGTGGTGGATTATAAAGTTGCAGAGCATCAACAGAGAAGGAAACTTGCAGCGGGTGAAGGAGAAGGTGATGCGAAGTAAGATCTCATCTGGGATGGATTCAAAATGAGCATTCTAACAAATTTCTATTATTTTCCGTTTTTACCCTTGCGAAAGTGGAAAAGTTTTGGTAATTCTTTTAGCTTAGAATCCATTTTAGTCATGATTACTAAGTATATTTCAGTTACTCGGTCATAATTTATTTAATCAGTTCGGTTTGGTTTGGTGTAATATCAGTGTTTTATGTAGTCAAGAAAAATTTAATAACATTATCCTTGCATTCAAAGAGTTTTGGTAAAGAGTAGAACATTTTACAGGTCAACGATGCCACACGTACACAGATTTGCCAGGTGGATTTACAGAATGCCAAATGGCAACATCTGATCAGAGTTTGGAAAAAAAAAAAGAACCTTGCTATTGGGCCAGGCTCAAAGCCAGGCCCAAGAACAGGGGCTCCCTGTTCTTGGGCCTGGCCAAGAATATTTGCCCCAAAAAAAAAAAGTCGAAGTTAAAACAACCGACAAGGAGCTGTTATCTCAGCACCTGTAAATTGCCCTATACAATTCATCTGTTCAAACAAATTTATTCTTTACAGGTATGGGCGATGCAGTCCTTGCCTGATTACATTCCATTTCAAAATCATCTAATATGACTGAGATATCTTTATTTCAGGATATGCTAATCCTTATACTATATTAATTTTAGGTTGAATATGTGATCTCCTTATTACCAGGCAGAGAGAGATAAAAATGCGACTGAGAACATTACAAGTGTATTGCGCAAGTAGCACACTGGGCAGCTGTGTTTCTAAAAAGAACCTTTTATAAGCAGATGCCCCTTTACTTGTCTGCAATTTATGGATTCAACGATCAAGCTGGAATTTGCAACAAGGAGAATGAATGACATTCCTATGACAAGCTGATATTCAGCCTTGTTACCAATTTTCTTCTTCATCTTAAAGTGACTAACAAAATAATATACACATTCTTTCAACTTCAGCCGCCATCTGCCCCGTCCGTAGACAAAGCACCCATCACTATTTCTTCTACAAAGGGGCAAGTAAACAATCACTCTCCAGAACTAATTTCAAATTGGGACACCTCGGTTAAAAGATCAAACTCAAGTTCTAACCTGATCGAGGGGTTTTGTATCTGGATTCTGGAATGATGGCCTTGTGCTTAGGGAAAATTGCCCTATTGGTATAGCACGCCATGCTATCAAGCTAGAAAATATGGATGGTCTGAACTTAGATAATCCTCTGCCTACCTGCATGTCAAGTGATTGCTGATTCAACGATAACCCTTAGAGAAGATAAGAAAATACAGATTTTCAAGCCAGCGATTCCAAAGATAACACCATATAATTATGATAGCTCAAATGTGTAACCACTATTTTAAAGAATATGTTAAAAGATATGCTAATCTTTCATCAAACTTCAACATAGCAGCCTCCCTAGGTGCATGTTGCCCATTAAGGCAAGGTATTTACAATACAAAAAATGATAGTTGCTTCCCACTCACCTTTGACTGAGGGAAGCACAAGCATACTAGATCAAATTAAGTAAAATAAACAGGTAAAACATCTAAAATATTTATAATTTCAAATAAGTTGATCCATAAAATTTTGTATCAGTAACTACTACCTTCTCTTGAAGTGCAATTAGAAGATCGGAATAGAAGTTGCATGCAGCAGTCCCTCTTTGCAGAGTCACCACTACAGAATTCAATGAAGTGCACGATGAAAATGACCACCATACCAGACCGGAGTAGACAAAAACAATGCAGGTCCTACTGTGAACGTCTGGAGTTTCTGTTTCATAACTCTCTTCTTTTTCAGTTGGTAATAGCTTTGTGCACAAGAAGTAGGAGCACAATCACTAATTACCACCTAGTAAATTGCTGTCTGTCATTCTAACTATTGTTGTAGTTCTCCGAATAATCATATATTTGAAGTTGCAAATACTGCAAAGAGTGCCACTTAATCAGATGGTTCTTGTCCCTGATCCAACTTCAAGATTTTGCAGAAATGGAATCCCTGAACTGTTCATGAAACTTAAAAGTTCTTTAGCTTTTAATACCGTGCTGGCTGACTTGTAAAGGTGTACAGCAGCACTCAAAATAAACCTGTCTGGTTCCGCAGAATAACAGTGTCTTTCAAAAAAGTTGATACCTTCTTCCACATGTCCAAATTTCAGATAACCTCTAAGCATAATCTGATTACTCTCAAGGTCAGGATCTAATCCAGTTGAGATAAGGTTCCCATAGATCCTTTCAGCTTCCCCCATCGAACCTGCTTGAGTAAAAGCTACAAGCAAGAGGTTAAAATGAGCACAGGAAGGAGAAATTCCTTTTTCCTGCATCAAGATGATGGTTTTTTCTGCTTCTGAGTATTCCAATCCCTTTGAATATGCTCGAATGAGAGCAAGGTAGGTAAAAGTGTCAGGTGAACAACCATTTCTCTGCATGATTTGGAAAAGAAGCTCTGCATCGTGATAAAGTCCTTCAGCAGCATATATATTGATCATGATATTGTAGCTCACCTGTGTGTCCACCAAATTAAGTACAACACACACATTATCTTACCTTTCAAAAAAACACACATTATCTTGAGTACAAATTAGATAGAAAGGTATAGTTTGACTTTCGATATAGTTTCAAGTTGATGTTCTTGAACTTTGGCGTGTGTGTAATAAATCAACTGATATTATTCACAACAGTGATTAGGAGAAAAAACTCGATCTCAAGTTAGAAGGTTTTCCAGTCATCTGAAGAAACAAACTAGTTACTTGCAAAATGAAATGATATTGTCAGCATGTTATATCTTAAAACCTCCAGAGAAATAAATTCTCATTGACCAATACAGCAATCTGAGAAAATATTTGCAATTAAGATAACAATGAGCTGGTGTCATGCATCTATATACAAACTTAAAAAGAATTTCCAGCAGTTGAGACTTCCAGGCTCTCTTATAATGTATCCATAAACAATAGCTGGAAAAATAGGACGCACTATCCCATGAAAATGAGTGCTCAAAATCAAATATCTAGAGTATCATAACTAGACTTCTCCGCATTAAATTTGGCAACCACTATAAACGTACCTTCCCAGGTTTTATCCCTTCCTCCTGCATTTGACAAAAGAGAGCTGATGCTTCATGACTTTTGCCTACAAAATAGCAATTCAAAAGTATAGATTTATGAACTAGCATGACAATTGTAATACAAAAGATTCATAGAAAACAATAGTCCAGTACTGAGCACCCAGAATATTAAGATAGGTGCCATTTTTCCTTTCCTTTTCTTTTTTTTTTTTTACTGTTTTGGTTGGGATGGGAAATTAAATTGTTCTTAACAATATAAACATTGCATTATCAATATGCTCCATTATGCAGGTATATTCCAAAGACCGGGGGGGGGGGGGGGGGGCCAATT